TGCCAGATCTATCAACAACAACAATTTATTTATTTATTTATAGCTCACCTTTTGCCGTAGCAATCAAGGCGGCTTACAACCAAAACGAATACAAACCCCGACAAAAGCAACTAGGTAATATAAGCGAACATGATATCCCCCCTTAAAAATACGATAAATACAGGTCTCAATTAAAACCAATTTAAAACAGTAAGAAAATTTACAACAATTATAATAGTAGGCACTCTGGGGCAAAGCAAAATAAGAAAAAGAGAGTGTCTAATGGGAAGAAACCAAGTTGGAAGGTGGTTTTATTCTGGGTATCAAGTATGGGGCAAGCCAAAAAGTAGGGAAGATGAGCATAACTTGCTTTTTAAGAGGTGGTATTTTTGTTTCTTTTTGGCATCACTGCAGACTGACTGAGATCCTTTCACTCTGCTTTGTAGGTTCCTCTCAGCAGTACATGGGCCAGGAGGAATACTACAGTGAGCAGTACAGTCATGGACAAGGTTCATCAGAGCCCATGAACCAGCAATATTATCCTGACGGTAATTTTGCTGAGCGTAGGGTAATATGTTTCCAAATGGCAACGAACTGCAAGAAACTTTATCCAAGTTGGAATTAGAAATGAAAGCCAGCACACACATATACATTCTTAAGTCCTTTTCTCTGAAAAGTATAACCTTGGATGATAATGGAGGTTATTTTCCAACAGGTTAGGTCAAGATCACAGCAATTAGGGGATCTTGTAACAGGGGTCACAGTAGATGAATCAGGGGGAAATAACTACTGTATATTTTTACAAGATGGGGAACAGAAGAGATGAAATCACAAAGGCAGGAGCCAGGAAGGAGAAAATAAATACCCAGTAAGGAGTAGATAAATAAGTACCACCATTCATATGACACCATCTGTGAAATTAGCATTTGTGTTAAAGTTTTTTTTTAAGTTAAAAATATAAATAATAAGTATGGCAGATTGGGACTGGGGAAAATCTTTTTATGAAGTCATGCCAACAACTATATGGCATGATCCTGTGTTTCTCTTAAAACCCATTATTCTAACACCAACAATATCACAATGTTAGCTATTTTGCCAACATAGCAGATCCTTCCAACAGTGTATCTAGTAGTTCTTATGGTATTTGGTACATAGCTACCTTGAGCACTTATGAGGAAGGGTGGAATATAAAACAAAATAAAATCAATAATTTTGCTGGTGGGAAAGGTGGAGTCAGGCAAGGCAACAAAGGTGGTCAAACAGCTATAAAAAATATCCAAGAAAACAGAGATGATTGGTGTAAAGAAAAATCCATTATCCTCTAATTTTAGTTATTAAGTGCTCCTCTTTTTATCCACCTATCTGTTTAATCTAGGTGCAAGCTACAGCTTGGTTATTTTTTTTACACTAAAGATCTAAACCAAATTTAATGCTTTCCCCCTCTTCTGCTAAGGGGATCTACACTTCCATAAGGTGCGGCTGAGCAGCTCTAATATTTCTCAACTGTTCAGCACATACATCAATTTCTAGAATTTGGGGAGAGAAGCTATAAAAGTTCTACAGATATATTTTTAGTTTATGCATTCCCTTTTGGTTTCAGAGTAATCATCATATGTTTTTAGATGCATATGTAGCTTTCCTTCTTAATCTCTATTTCTGATGTTCCATTCTTTTCTGGTTTTGCTACCTGAGTTTAGGTCATAGTGACTATGCGTATCAGCAGTCTTCTTATTCTGAACAAAGCTATGACAGATCGTTTGAGGATTCCACACAGCACTACTATGAAGGCGGTAAGGAGACCCATGGTGGAA